AGTTTAGTTGCTTTATCTAGAGGAATTGTTAGTGGTTTAGTAGCTGTTAGTGCTGCTACTGATGATATGAAACCATGGACTGCATTCATTTATGGTCTTTTGGCTGCTGTCTTTTATAGTGTATTAGCTAAAGTCATTCCTAAAGTTCATATTGATGATCCTGTTGAAGTTGTTCCTGTATTTTTGGTATTATTTTTCATTCATTTTAGGGTAATGGATTCCTAGGAATCTTTTTATCAGCATTTTTCGATACTAAAGCTGGTATTTTCTATGGATTTAATGCTAAATTATTAGGAATGCAATTATTAGGATTATTGATCATATTTGTATGGGTTGCTTTCTTTGTTTTAATTACATTACTTATTTTAAAGGGATTTGGAGTACTTAGAATTGATGCTGAAACTGAAAATGTTGGTATTGATAAAGCACATTGTAATTTTATATCATTTATTTCTTAGGCTTGGGTGAAGCCATTGTTTTTGCTAACTAAGTTGATGAAGTTCCTCTTGTTTAAAAAACTGAAATGGTCTCAATAGGAAATAGCCAAATTGGATCAGGATTTAGACCTGGATTTAGATGATACCATAAAATAATATATATTTGAAAAATTTTTTAAAACATTTTTTTACTATAAATAGTTGAAATATATCTAATTTAAGTCAATATTAAAACCGAAATAATATATCTATATAATTAGGTTTGACATTATAAAAATTATAAGCTTGCCATATTTATTGAATTTTTATTGTAGTTGGTATAATTAAAAAGAATCAAGATTAATAAATAGTTAGTTTTAAATACAAGTGTAAAAGAGACAGAAGATAATATAATTAAGAGAAAAATTATAAATCAAATTATTTAGATAATCTTGATTATTCAAATATTAAAAATTACATGAATTTTACAAAAAAAAAACTCATTTTTTGGCTAAAGAACTTCATAGAACAAAAATAAAACTTACTTCTTCGAAGATTTTTAGAATAATTAAAGACTTAAGTAAGATTTAATTATTTATTATTCTAATTATAATTATAAAAATAGTTATTTTTCTTAATTTGAGGATTATTAATTTTATTATTCTTAATTAACCATACAAAATATTTCTTATTCTAAACTAGCTTTTAAATATTTATTATTCAAAAAGAGCACATAATGTTATGAGATTAGTATGTAGTATATTATATTTTCTTAATCATTAATAAAAGTTAAGCTACTTTCAAGAGAAAAAATTTTTTTCAGCCAAATTAATTGAATAAAGAAGGAATTATTCATTTCAAAACTCTAATTTTTTGTTAACTCTTTAAATTTGAAAGAACTATTTCATTTATTCTCGCGTACATTCATCAAAAAGGACTCATTTTAAATTAAATCTTTAACACGGTTATTTCTGTTTTTTAGATCAATATGAATGAGCTTTGATTTAACCAGACATTAAATCTTGAATAAAAACAAAAATTAACCATTTTGAATTCTAATAATTTATTTAGAAATAGGAAAAAAAAAAAGTAGTAAGGAATATAATTATCACATTTATAAAAATAAAAATGCATGAAAGTTAGTTCGAATTAGAATATCAAGTATTTATTTAAAAATATCATGAGAACTAAAGTTCTTAAAAGTTAAATAAGAATTATTTAAAATTTTATATATCTTATTTTCTTAGAGTTTCTCTGTAAATGAATAGATTATAAGAGTTTGTTTAATGTTTAAAGTAATTTTAGGCCTAAAAAAAATGGATTAAATGATTTTTTTTAGAAAACTTGGAAATAAATTCAATGGAGTTTATTGATAATACTAATTTGTATTAAAAAATATATTAATATTTTTACTCCCCAAAAATTATGCAAAATATTTTAACTCAATAATCACAGTTTTTTGAGTTGTTAGATAAGTAAGTTGATGCATATAAGACACTTCTTGATCAACTCAATACAAGCTAAGATAAATTCAATAATCTACTTACAGATTATCTGCTAAAATTTCAAAAAATCAATAATAAACTACTTTAATAAGGAAGACCTGAATTTTCTTGCTCATAAATTTAAATTAAACGAAATGATGAATTATTCACAAATTCATAATTAAACATATCCTTCAATCTAAGATCTGTAACTTTATATTTTTTATTATTTAAGTTACTGGAGAAGTAATACAAATACAAATTAACTCTTGCTGACCCTCTTGAAACTCCACTTTATAGAGATCGTATCTTTTAATTAAGAGTAGAGTTGAAAAATAAAAATGGAGAGTTAGTCCGTAATCCTAATAAAATTGAATTGGTGGTAGCAATCTACTCTTAAGAACAGTATCCAAAAGAAATCAAAGTTAATAACAAGGGTGAATAAATATTAAAAGGTCATTTATGTGTCCCCTTAATAAAAGGCACTGCATTTTTCACTAGAGTTTAAATAAGAGAAGTATCTTCACACTATTAAAACGGGGGTATTATTCTTGCAATATTACCACAATTTAAACCAAATGATGAACCAATTAATAGTCGTGATATTTAGCCTATGATTGTTGAAAATATCAAAGTTAAGGCTAAGAAATTTTCAGAACGTCACATTCCAGTATATGTTAATTAGTGATTCATTATATATTTAGTAAAGAGATATTTGAACTATATTTTCATCATATTTTCTTCCTATTACTTCTTAAATCTAAATTTCCTCACTCTTTGTCTTCTTTTTCAACAATTTCAACTAAAATCTTATAACTTATCTGTTTGTGATTGTTTGTAAAAAAATAATAATAAAAAGAATAACATCCATCTTAATAAAAAAATGATTTATATATATATCTTTTAATGAGTCTGAGCTTTCTTTAAAAAGAATTATCTAATTACTTTTATTTCATAAATAAACTAGTATTCTAAAATCTTATACTTATACAGTTTTTCAATTAGGAAGCAGGTAATTAATAATCTTAGAGCATTTTAAAGTTCTATGTCTAAATCATATTATTCTTGTCAAATTTCATGATTCTAGTATGTACTATTGATTTTAAACTGAGCTAAGATAAAATTAAAATGTATAGTAGAAAGCAAACTAGTTTAAACCAAGGGAAATAGTCTGAATACAGAGATAAGTTATTGATTGATCGGCATGAATGAAAACTATCTAAAAAAGATGGATTCAGTTGAATTTCAAGAATTTATTGAATATTTTTAATAAAGTAAAATAAATATATGCTGTTCAATTCTTAGTTAAATAATAATTTATCAAATCATTTTTATTTTATTAAGTATTCAGGAATATATCCTAATTCTGAATCGACGAGGTAATGTCCAGGACCTGGAGACTCAAAAAGTTGTTTTTAAACTGGTTCCCTATAATTTTTTTATTTTGTAAATGAAATTCCGGTTTTAATGAAAGATCGATCAATTTCATATTTTCCAGGACCAATAAAATTAGTTCTATCATCTTAGAATCTCTTAGATTTACTCCATCTATTTAAGTTGATTAATTTATCATGATCAATAGAATTATCAATATCATATTCTCCAGGTCCTGGAGTTGTACAAATTCTTTTTGATCTATATATTTTGCCCATAACTCCACCTTAACTTTGTAAAGTAGAAAGTCTTGTATCATATGCTCCANTATCTTTTAATTAAGAGTAGAGTTGAAAAATAAAAATGGAGAGTTAGTCCGTAATCCTAATAAAATTGAATTGGTGGTAGCAATCTACTCTTAAGAACAGTATCCAAAAGAAATCAAAGTTAATAACAAGGGTGAATAAATATTAAAAGGTCATTTATGTGTCCCCTTAATAAAAGGCACTGCATTTTTCACTAGAGTTTAAATAAGAGAAGTATCTTCACACTATTAAAACGGGGGTATTATTCTTGCAATATTACCACAATTTAAACCAAATGATGAACCAATTAATAGTCGTGATATTTAGCCTATGATTGTTGAAAATATCAAAGTTAAGGCTAAGAAATTTTCAGAACGTCACATTCCAGTATATGTTAATTAGTGATTCATTATATATTTAGTAAAGAGATATTTGAACTATATTTTCATCATATTTTCTTCCTATTACTTCTTAAATCTAAATTTCCTCACTCTTTGTCTTCTTTTTCAACAATTTCAACTAAAATCTTATAACTTATCTGTTTGTGATTGTTTGTAAAAAAATAATAATAAAAAGAATAACATCCATCTTAATAAAAAAATGATTTATATATATATCTTTTAATGAGTCTGAGCTTTCTTTAAAAAGAATTATCTAATTACTTTTATTTCATAAATAAACTAGTATTCTAAAATCTTATACTTATACAGTTTTTCAATTAGGAAGCAGGTAATTAATAATCTTAGAGCATTTTAAAGTTCTATGTCTAAATCATATTATTCTTGTCAAATTTCATGATTCTAGTATGTACTATTGATTTTAAACTGAGCTAAGATAAAATTAAAATGTATAGTAGAAAGCAAACTAGTTTAAACCAAGGGAAATAGTCTGAATACAGAGATAAGTTATTGATTGATCGGCATGAATGAAAACTATCTAAAAAAGATGGATTCAGTTGAATTTCAAGAATTTATTGAATATTTTTAATAAAGTAAAATAAATATATGCTGTTCAATTCTTAGTTAAATAATAATTTATCAAATCATTTTTATTTTATTAAGTATTCAGGAATATATCCTAATTCTGAATCGACGAGGTAATGTCCAGGACCTGGAGACTCAAAAAGTTGTTTTTAAACTGGTTCCCTATAATTTTTTTATTTTGTAAATGAAATTCCGGTTTTAATGAAAGATCGATCAATTTCATATTTTCCAGGACCAATAAAATTAGTTCTATCATCTTAGAATCTCTTAGATTTACTCCATCTATTTAAGTTGATTAATTTATCATGATCAATAGAATTATCAATATCATATTCTCCAGGTCCTGGAGTTGTACAAATTCTTTTTGATCTATATATTTTGCCCATAACTCCACCTTAACTTTGTAAAGTAGAAAGTCTTGTATCATATGCTCCAGGACCTGGAATTTAAGTAGAATAATCATATATTTTTGGAGACTTGTAAAACTTAGTACCTTTACACTTACCTATTTACTAATCTTAATTATAAGCTCCAGGTCCAGGACTTTATTCTTTGATTTGACTAAAAATAGTTTATCTTAATATAGAATTAAATTTAATGGTTCCACTTCCATTCATTTTATCTTTAACTTCATAAGCCCCTGGTCCAGGATAATTTAAAGGCTCAGAAGGTTTATACTTCGCTAAAAATGAAAATCCTTAAGTTTGTTTATAATCATAGTGATAACTTCCAGGACCTGGTGTATCTGTATAATAAATATCTCTGGGTGCTTTTGAAAAAGTTTGATTGGTGCTTTATTTAGTAAGACTACTTTCATATTAACCAGGCCTTATGGATTGTTTAAATAAGTATACGCAGGAGTTATTGATCTTGGATAGATACTATCTTGTTTACTCGAACTTAACATAAAACCATTTGTTTTATTCATACTAGATTTCAAGTAATTGTTTGTCAAATTATATTAATTTGGTGCAGGTACATCAGTTTCATAAGTAACTAAGAATCTATCTCCAAAACCATATTTTTTATTAGATTTAGGAGGTTCAATTGTGTAACTTCCAGGTCTAAAATTGAATATAATCTATACCCAACAATAGAAGCCACCTTTTCTTATTTTCTTTTTCCTTTGATTGTTATTTTTAATTTTCTTTTCTATTATAAATAATATCAGCTGAATACATCCTCTTATTCAAGTTCATATTTTCCGACTGAAGGGGTTTCATTTTTCAATTAAGATCGTAATGATTTCCCAAATTTCGTAGCACTTGTAGATAAAGTTGATTGAATATTATAATGAGGACTTGGACTTTATTCTTTTTATGCAAACTTTTATATTGAGTTATCATCATACAATATTCAATCTTTATCCTAATCCAAAAGATGATGCACCATGAAATGACTATATAAAATTAGTCATGTCTTTATAAAATTTAATATAATAAATATATACAAAAAATTTTAATTTATGTTTGAGTATTAACATTCTGACATTATATTAAATATTGAATTATTTCTATCCAATTATTTTTCATAACTTGTTAGAAGAATCCAATATCTAGACTATTTTAATTGAGATCATCAATTTTTTAAGTAATTTACATCCAAAACAATTTCTTCTGTTATTATTGTAATTAAATATATATTTATGATGTTAGAAATCCCAATGATCAATAAATTGAATACAAAGATAGAACCAACCTTTGATTGCACTAGTTCCAAACTTTATGACAAAGGAGAAAACATTTATATTCCATTAGATGGTAGACTAACAACAGATTAATTTACATTCTTACCCAATTAAGCATTTACACAAATGGGGCTTTGTTAATAAAGTTTGTATGCTTTAAAAAAAGAGAGCTATAATCATAGAGTATTAATAATAAAAGTGAATAATATATGGCCTCATCTAGATTATGAAATAAAGGAAGATTTCAAGTATCTTCAACTGATAACACAAAACAAACTTTTAAACAAATATTCTACATTACCTACATTCTTATTCTAATATCTTGATAGGATTATAGTTTTGAATAAACAAATAGTTAATATAGAGAATTCCATTTTGTTTATTGCTGATGGAATTATGTTTCAGAATGGAAGACAAGTTATTAATCATTTTGAAGGAGAAGCTGTTGCAATTACTGAATGTAGATTATATGGCTTAAAAAAATCAAGTATATAGAATATGTTTATAAGGATATTTAATATTTGACTTTATTTGGTGAATGTAATGTCAAATTAACTCTCCATAATCAAGAACTTATGTTAAAATCTGCTGTACTTCAATTTGATTCTCCTAAGTATGCTTAACAAAGTGTCATTAAGGATATAAAAACTATCAAAGAATTATTAAAAGGAGAAGATTATTTTTAATTAAGATAAAAATTAAATGAAGTATTTGGTAAGAAAATTAATGATCAATAATAATAAATAACAATTTAATAGATTTAACATTAATAATAATAATACCAACAACATTAATTAACAAATAGTGTTAGATAAAGGACTTCTAGTAATTAAGAGGATACAAACTAACCAAAAAAGTAGATTTTTCGTAGAATTTATGTTGCCAGAGAAATTGATAAAACCTAAAAAGAGTAACCATCATTAGGAGAAATCAAAAAAATTAACTATACTCCTTTACGTAATCGATAATCTCGTGTTAAAATGAATAGTTCCAATATTAGATAGAAAACTATAGAGCAAACATCATCATAATAACAATAGCAATCTGCTATTTAATAATAATGCTTACCAATTATTAAAAGCTTTGTAAATATGGAGGAATACTAAAAGCAATAACAATAAATCAAAAAAAAAAAAGATTAATAAAAAAAGAAGATTATGTAAAACAAATTTATTGAGTTTGATAAAGTTTTGAATTAGTTAATAAAATGAATTTTTATTTATAATCTATAATTTTTCTTCATTAAAATATCATTTTAGATACTTATATCTTATTATAAAATCAAAATTATCAATTATCTAATTGGTATTAATTTTTAATGTCTTTTACCATGAAATCCTCTTGTAGAATATTAATAAATATATTTATTAAGTTATGTAAATAAAATATTTATGCTATCTAATTAATCTATTTATATTATAATTTCTAAAAAATTATTATGGTCTCTTGTGTTAGTGAAAAATTGCCTAAAAATATATTATTTAATAAAAATAATAATGACCAGTCAAAAATCATAAATCTAAATTTTTTTATGTAATACCTTTAAGTAAATAAAATGAGGAACTATAGAAAAGTCAATTAATTTGTAAAAGAATCATTTTTTGAGGCATACCGGATATTTGATAATAAAATATGTAAACTAAGCTTTAAATAGTATTTTTAAAATATTACTAAAAATCACTTAATTGAATCAATTGATTAATTCATTAAAAGCCGAATTTAAATTATTATTGTAACAATTAAAATATAAAAAAAAAATTCTTGAATTTTATTTTAGAAAAATAAGTCCTGATTTTAATAACTTTAAAGCGCATTCAAATATATAACTTAAATTTTGAGATGTGGTTTGAGCAAAATTGATTTTGGAAATCTAAAATTAAAATATTTAGTAAATAAAACCTTATAAAGAGCTCAAATAATAATCAAAAATAAATCTAAAATTATAGTGTCTAGTTTGAAATGAAAAAAAAAATGCATTTTTAGCATTTTATGAAGTTTAATAAATTTCAGAGCAAATTTATAACTAAAATAACAAAAAAGTTATATATTACTTTAATGGTTAGATAACAATAATTTGAATTAGCATTTTAAGAATTAATAAGCAAAAAAAACATATATAAATGATGATAATTATATTTTTTCAATTTAAATCACTATATGGATAAGTAATTTATTACATTAAATAAAATAAAATGCAAAATAATTAATAGGCAGCTACAGAGGAATAATCTAAAAATTAAGAAGCAAAATAAGAAACATAGCGGTGTCCATCATGTGACACTTTCTATGGAACTGCTAAAACTAATTTTTATTGCTCAAAATGCTACAAGTATATTCGTTGAATATCGTAGAACTATTTCATAAACAGTTAATGAGTAATAACAATAACAATAATAATAATAAATACCAGAGGAGAAAGTATAGCCAAATTAATAAGTAAATATATAAGTATAAAATGATTTAAAATATTCAGCATGATCCTTCAAAATGTTTTGTATGCAAAAGAAAGCTCGGAATATCAGGTATTTAATGCAAATGCAAAATTGTTTTTTGCAACAAGCATAGATTACCTGAAGACCATAATTGTACTTTTGATCATGCTGAAAAAGCCAAACAATTACTTATTAAAAATAATCCATTAGTTGATCATAAAAAGCTTGAAGAATTATGAAATTTATCAACATAAATTATTTTTAACAATAATTCATTTTATAAAAATAGATTTTTAAATTATACTATATTTTTTGTAATTATTTCTTCACAACTTCTAATCAAAGTCTAATTGATGATATTTCTCACAATATTTACTTAGGTTTCTAACCAAAAAATTAATCTAATTAGTTTTAGTTAAGTGATTTTAATCAAATTAATTATAAATTTAGTCTTAAAAGATTCTAGTTTTATTGCTCATTGTATTTTTGTTAACTACTTTTTTAGATGCTCTTCTGTCCTTTGATCTTGCTCTTATTTATTCTCAAACATCAATTTAAAATAATGCTGTATATGCATTCTTAATTTATATTTTTCAATAGAGTTATTCATTTTAATTTAGTTTAAATTATTTTCAGTATTACCCAATTAGTGTTTCATTAAGTTGGAATTGTCACCTTAAGAACTAAAATTAATTGACAATTTATTATTAAATCATAAAAACAATTCTGAAAAAATTAATAAGAATTATATATTTTGATTTTATAAATTTTTTATTGAGTATTATGCATTTATAAATAACATCAATGAATAGAACTAATCTATAGAAATAATTTTTTTTTAATATTATTAGAAAGAGGCTTTCTAGTATATATAAGTTTGGTAAGAAGTATATCGAATTCAATTTCAAGAGAGACCATTTTTTTATTTAATTTTAATTAATACTTGGATTTAAAACTTTAGTTGTCTTTTGAAGATTATTATTATTACTTGATATTAATTATAAAAGATTATAAAATTAAAATATATATTTTAAAATAGAATTTTAATCAGAATTTTGTTAATGAACTATTCAATTAATTTATTTAATTTTCAACTTGGTCTTAATTTAATAGTACTTCCACAATTTATTATCTAAAAATTCTCCTCTTTGATGTTTGTAATAACATGGATAAATTACAAATGAAATGTAGCTTGAAAGAAATCTGAGTATAAATATATCGAACTTAGAAATATTAAATAGATCAATATAAAAATGAAATTGTACAAATTATATTTCTATATCTAACATGTTCTATAAATCATATATTTTTTTATAGTTATTTATCATAATTATGTAAAAGATTGAACCAAATTCATGTATGGTTAAAGGGAAGAATAATCATTATTTTTAATATATTTTATATCTCATAGATAATTACATATGAATAATTTCTTAATCATTTCTTCTATAAGATTTATTTAAATGAATCCCTACTGATAATAAAGAATTATAGAATAAAATAATGATTCAATTAATTGTATTGATATAAAAATAATTGAATTTGGTTTTTACTTTCATATCTTTAACAAAATCAAAAAATAATTAAGGTAAAGACTCAAATTTCTGGGTTTACAAGTTCTATTGATTTAAAAATAAAAAATATATAAAAATTATGGGAGTGACTTAAACATGTATAAAAGAAAAGAACTCTACCCCACAGATTGAATAAGCAGTTCCTATGATCTTGAAAAGAAAACCTCTAGGCAAAAAACCTCGTAAATAGAATATCTTAATTCCTCCTTTAAAGTATTTAGGAGAAAATGAAGAATCATTGGAATAACTAGAGTTAACATTATAAGAAACTAATATAAATTTTAGTATTCACAAAACTGCTACTTTTAATAGTAGTAGTGCTAATAGATAATCTCTTAAGATTAATTAAAGTTTGAACCTGTCTCTAAATACAACAACTCCAAATTCTATACAATAATAATAAATGATTCCTAATACATCTTTTTAAGAAACTAATTAAGACAACTAAGAATAAATTGTATAAGGAAAATAATAATACAAGGAATCACAATTTAAGATGCGTTCTGATGCATTAAATAATAAAAGAGAAAATTTTGGAAGAAGTTTAAGTAGTAATTCGAAAGCTTAAAGAGCATAGAATTTTAATGATGAATCTTCTATTTCATAAAGAAAAGATTCAGAAGCAAATACAAAAAAAAGCATTTTGAAAAATAAGTAACCTGTAATAGCAAATTAACTAAAAAGAGGAATAAGTCTTAAATAGTAATAACTGCCAATAAATTTCGATGATACATAATCATAAAAAACATCTAAGAGTTAAAAAAGAGTTAAGTTTGATCCAAAAATATTTCGCCCTAAGAACACTCATTTTTTATAATGAATTAAATTTCTTATTATCTTTTATCAATCATGAATTTTCTAAAATAAAAAATATCATTGTTAAATATAATTTAATGAACAAAAATATTATTTTATCAATATAGATGATATAATCATATTTATGTTTTGATATAAAATTATTTATTTACGACCTTGAGTTAAATTATCAAACATATTTATAATGATGATTATTTATTAAATTAATGTAGAAAATATTACCCTATGCATTTCATGGATTAGATTATTTGTATGAGCCTTAATTGGCTAGATTTTATAATCTAATCCCAGCATTTTATACTACAAAACTTGGAGAAGGATTCTTGAATCAAACAACTTAAGTTTATACATCGTTATTGTAATCTATTGCAGAATAAGATAAAGAATATTTGAAATAAATTCTAGAGCCTAAATTATACAATGCTACAACATAATGCATGGATATGTTAGAGGAAAAACAATTAAAATTATAATATATCGAATAAGAATAATAAGAAAATGATGATAAGTAAGAAGAAGATGATGAAGAAGCTGCAGCATAAAAACCATAATAATAGTTTGGTTTCTTTTCAAAAAAAATTAAAAAAAATTAGTAATTATTTTGTAATGTATAAAAGTGGTAATAATGAGACATATCATATTTATCAAGAAAAAGATTATAAATGTAATATTGATGTGAGAGGAGTCTTTGGTGTAAAGATTAACAGAACTGAAAATTAAAATACTCGATTTTTTTAAATCCCTGCTTTCCCTATTACACCAAGGTATTTATAGATATTAAAAAGGAATTATTTTTTAAATCTAAAAAATCCTTTCAGTTTATATGAAAACTAAATCTTAGTTGCCAATATTCTAATTTATACAAGCAAAAAATTAATCGCTGTGGATTCAGAAGGAAAAGTAGTTCATGGAAATTATGATAATAATTAATTTTAATATCATAAATTAAGATTAGAATCTTATGTTCCAAATTTCAATTGGGTAATTACTGATATTGATGATTATCTTAAAGGAAATCCTTATTTTTGAGAATATATTTTAAATAAAATATTTATTTAATTATTTCACAATCTAAATTAACCATACTATTTTATTAAAAATATTAATCAATTATATATCCCTTTATTTTTTATCTATCTTTATTTTTTACAATAATTTTTTATAAACATTCATTTTAAATTAATAAATTTATAATGTGATTATTTGATAAAGTATTATACTAAATTGTCTCTTCAAAAAAGGATTAATATTAAATATTTTTCAATTAATAGACGGCTATTAAATAAAAAAATAATTAAAAAAAATAATAAATAGAGGTTCGTTTGAAAAAAGAATTACTGTTTAAAAATTAAATAAAGATATTAATGATATTATATTTGTATATTAAGGTTTCAAAAATTTTGTGATATCTAAGTTCTATTTAAAAATTCAAAAAAATTTATTGAATTAACTTTTTATGATCATATAGTTTTATGGTGTAAAGCTTACCAAAATTATTTTAATTATTTTACAATAATTAATGAATGAAATAAAATAAAATGAATATTTATTGAAAAATAAGAAAGAAAAAGAATGGTTGAGTAGGAAATAATTGAAATTTTTAAGAGACACAGCTGTTACAAGTGATGATTCAGGTGATGAATTAGAAAAATAAAAAGAAATGGAAATTTTTATAATTCAAAAGAAAAAATTTTAATGGCAATAAAGAAGCTTGAATTTTTTTGGCTCAAAAAAATATACGAAAGTCTACTCTGAAGTAATATCTCTAAAAATTAATCATTACTTGATACAAATCAATAATTTATTGAAAAAAATAAGAAAAAACATAACTCCTTTACCTCCTTACATAATAACACCTGATGGATCAATAAAATTGTTATGGGATTTATTATGTTTAGGATTTGTAATTTTTGAAATGATTAGTATTCCATTTTAAATAAGTTTTGAAAGAGAGATAAGTAAGGAAATATCAATGACATCTTTAGGAGTTTTTGCATTGGATATACTCTTAAATTTTAACACAGGAGTTTATTTAGATGGAATTTTATAAATGAAAAGAGAAAGAATAATAAAAAGTTATTTATCATTTTGGTTTTGGATTGATTTAATTTCAACTTTTCCTTATGATATAATAATTGATGAATCGGAATCTCTGATTTAAAGTGCAAAATTACTTAGATTATTTAAATTTTTAAAATTTATTCATATTTTAAAACTGTTAAGACTGGCTAAATTAAAAAAGATTATAGATAAATTAGATGAATACATTTAAAATATTAGAGTAATAGGAGTAGTTTTAACCTTTTTTAAACTATTTGTTTTTGTTTTATTTTTAGCCCATGTTTTGGGATGTATATTTCATTATGCTTCAAGAGAAGAATCTAATTCTTGGCTTGGAGATAATGAAAATGCAGATTGGTAAATAAGATATATATATTCATTATATTGGGGTATAGCTACAATGACTACTGTTGGTTATGGTGATATAAGTCCTTTAACAACAGCAGAGAGAGGATTAGGGATTATCCTTTTATTAGTTGCATGTGGTGGATTTGCATTTACTATGAATTCTATAGGTTTTGCTTTATCTACTTTAGAAGAAAGAACTAATATTCGAAAATCACAAGTTAATATCTTAAATAAATATATGAAACAGGCAAATATACCTGATGGATTATAAAATAAAGTTAGAAAATATTTAGAATATGTATGGGATAGTCATTAAATATTGTTAAAAGACATTACTAATTTACTTTCTTATGAATTAGCAAGAGATATCTTGGATTAGGTAAATGGCAAATTATTTAGATATTTAGATATTTTCTGGCATTTTCATTCTAAATAATTTTTAATTGAAGGAATAATTCCTATTTTGGAAGATAAATTGTATTTACCTGAAGAGGTAATATTTAATGAAATTCCTTCAATTAGTTATGATCTATTTTTAATTTAAAAAGGAGAAGTAGGTATATATTTTATGAAAACAAATATCGTAATTGATAATAAAATTAAATATGATTACTTTGGAGAAATTAGTTTCTTTACTAATTAAATAAGATCAGCAAGTGCTAAAAGCAAATAATTTAGTCATATTTTTGTTTTAAATCAAATTAAATATTTAGAAATAGCAAGACTTTATCCACAAGATTTATAACAATATTTTAATGTTAGAAATTCTATTTTATTTTAAAAAGATTATAGTTTATTATAAGCAAGATGTTATATTTGTTAAATGGATGATCATCTTGCTAAAGAATGCCCAGTATTACATTTTTAAGTGTAATTATTCTAACTATTATAGTAATGCTCCTCATTTTCTATCTTTTTTACATCAATTTTATAGAGTATATTAGGCTTCCTATATAAGAAAAGATAGAATCGATTTTAATGCAAGGTCTTCTTCATATTAAATCTAACAATCTTAAAGAAGATTCTTATAAATTAATTGTAGAAGACAAACTTATATCAATTATAAAGGACCAACTAATACATTTTTTATCAATTATTATGATTTAGATTATGAAGAGCTTCAGAAAAATGACAATCCCCCATCAAAAGTAATTGCATCTTTATAAAATTCACTTTTTAATAATAAAAATAAAAAAAAGTTTGATTAATTAGATTTAAATATTGATTCTCCATCTATATGTTCAAAAAGATCAATTGGTGCTCTCACTAAAAAAATAATGATTGAAGAAGAATATATTGATTAGATAGCGTCTGATAGGTTTAATAATCTATTAGATTAAATAAATACAATAAAATAATAGAAAAGATCATTTTCACATATTCATTTTACATTATTACCTAATTTTGAGAGAATATAAAATTACACTAATTTTAGTTAATAGTATAATATTGAAAATGTATTGGAGAGGTACAAGATAGTATAAAAAAAGGGTTTAATGTCTTAAATACCTCCTAAATATAGTTAGTTTGGTTTAGAAGAATTTAGATCATATTAATAATATTATTGTTTTTATCTTAATAAAAGACATGTATATAGATATTATACTAAATGCCATCAAAATCAAGGGGATATTTACTATGGATTTGAAAATTCGAGAATCTTCAATTTAAACAGAGTAGAAAAGAAGAAAAGTTAATATATAAAAGTTGATTAAGTAATAATTATATCAAAAATTAGTTTAGGAAGAAAGATTTTATAAAACAATCGCAAGTAAATATTTGATTAAAAAATGGAACCTAAAAAATGTCTTGTATTATTTTTGTTTCTAACTATAAAGAATATTGAAATTAAATTATTCTTTTGATTTTGAATTTATTTAAATTCTCATAATTTCATCGTAATTTTGAAAAAAAGAACAAGAGAAATAAAGAATAAGGAAGGAAGTTTAAAATAATTGAATAAAGCACAAAAATATTAGAATTGTAAATTCATTCATCTTATTCTAACTGAAATTTCTCATTAAAATAAAATCTAAAATTTTTTTCTTTTCTAATTATTTTTTCTTATTCATTTGATCCATCAGAATAAACAGATGGTTCTTTTTGTATTGTTTATTGAGTTTATTTGAATTGATCTTCATCATCTGAATCATTACTAAATGATTCATCATCACTTGATTAAACTTTTTTAGTTTTTTATAATTTTTATTGTTACTTCTATTTATTTTGTATTTTTTATTTATATTAGATTTAAGTATCTTTTTTTGAATGTTTATTATTATTATTTTCTAAATTTTCATCATCATCATCATCATCATCATCATCATCATCATCATCACTATTATTATCCTCCCATAATTGTTCATCTTCTTCATCAATATAGTCTTTTTTGAATTGAACAATAATTTATTCTCCAGTGTCATTATCTATAAACTTTTTATTATGTTTATCCCATGAAATATCCCCTAGAATAAAAATACATTATTACCTTTTTCAAGTTTTCTAAGAATAGTTCTTTTTGATCTTTCTCTTAAGCATTTTAATGTTTCATCCATTTCTTCTCCACTTGAACTTTCATCATTAATTTCAATAGGTTCTGTACATTTTGAACATTGTTTCAATTCATCAGAACATACATCACATAATCTTCTATATGCCTTAAAGATATTTTTCTTTTCACATTTAGAACATCTTGATAAATCATGAGGAGTCTTATATTTACCATATTTAATTTTCCATTAGATTTAAGCTAAACATAATTCACATAATCTAAATTAATATTAGAAGTATACCTGTCTAATGAGGCATTCTATATCTTCTCTGTGTAATGATCATGAAATCTCATTTTGAATCCAATTTTGTTTTAATATTTTGGTGCTCCCTTTTTCATTAATTAAATTGTTTATTTATTATTTTTATGAATACTAAAATAGATATCTAATAATTTATGAAAGATTAGTTACGCAAGTAAACAATTAGTCCTGAACCTGAAAAATAATAATAATTATAATAATTCCATAGAAGATTTACAAGTTCGTAGATTGAAAGTGCAGGAAAAAATTAATTATAATAAAAGCATCTTTCTAATAAAATTTAAAGTATGACACTTTGATCAATAGTAGTGCATGGTTTATAATAATTGCTTAAGATGGGTCCACACAATAAAGTACTTCAATCTAAAGTTTACTCTTAGATGCTTATACATGAGAGCTTTTCTTAATAATATTTAAAAGACTTAAGTGTAGCCTATACACCAAATCAATAAACAACCATATAGTAGAACTTTTTTAAAAAAGCTCCACTCTCCTAAAATTCAACAATGTCTAGCAATATTAAACCTAGAATGAGAAGTGCTAATAAAGAAGTAATTAAAAAGAAATCACATAACGAAACTACATAATTACTATCAAATAGAGAAAAAGATAGATAAACCATTAATTAGTTATAAGAAATAATATCAAGAACAAATTCATTGTTGTCTTAATATTAGAGTGAAATTTCTAGACATATTAAAGAAAAAGAGGATTTAGTTAATATCATACAATAGTTGCAAAAACTATGAATTCTTTCAATATTGTTTTAATTGCTTGTGTTTATTAAAGTTTCATTTTTTATTTTACTTCTTTTTATTCTTTTCAAATTATAAACATAAACTAATATATAAATTTTATTAACTGGATTAGATCTGATTAAAAATAATTATAGATAATTATTCATTTAAATAATCACATCTTAAGACTTTATAAAATATATATTTTTTTTGATTTTTTAGATTCATTTAGACTATATTTAAAAAAATTTCAAATTATCAGAAACATAAAATTTATTTTTGATAATTTTCAAGTTTTATTTTGTTCTGATTCAAATCTTCTAAATTTAGTCTTAAAAAAGAAGATAATGTAAATATAAAATGGACCCAGTACAATTAAAATCACCCAAAGACCACAATCTTTAAAAACATCTAGAAAAAGAATATAATTTAAAATGAAACCAAGAAGCTATGAATTAAAAAATATAATACATTTGAAACTTACATCATGACAGTAGTTAAAACTAATTCAAAACAAGGAAACATTTTCTCAACGTAACATTAAATCGCTAATGGTAGAAATGAATTTAATCCAAAACCAATAGCACCTGAGAATATGATAATCCATGTATCATTAACATAATCTATAAGTAATGCTTTGATAAGTATTCCTACCATTCCAATTGTCATGAATGCTTTATTGAGTATATCGTAATTAGGCTTGATATTTAATTTTAACTGATAATCAATATACAAGCTTGCAATAGTTCCACCTATTGTACCAGTAGCACAATAGACAATACTCACATATCCTATGTCTTTTTGAGAATAATTAAATGGCTTTAAAAGAATAGCTACAACAACCATATATGCCCAGGCTGCTCCTATAAACATAGACATAGAAAATAAATCAAAAATTGACTCAAAATTTCTAAAAGCTCTTTTAAATGATTTCATAATTAACATTTTTTCTGAAGCCAAAATAATTTACATAAATAATTACAGCTGAAAAAGAAGGCGGTGAAGGTGGTTTATTTTTGATCATAAGTAAACACATAATGAAAGCAACAGTATTCATTATTGAATAGAGTAGGTTCATATAATCTATTTCTTTTATAATATCATCAGCTTCTGAAAGCTCTTCAAAAGTTATTGATGAATAAAAAATAGAAAAATTCAAGCCGACTAAATTTAAGAAACTTCCTAAACAAGTCGAAACAGTTCTTTCATGTACAGGAAACCATCTATCAGAAATATCTATTTAATTGTAAATTATAATTGATTACAAGCTGGTGCTGCTAAAATGAATATTTAACCTATTCCTATTAAAACGAATCCAATAATTGCTAATGCATAATTTTGATGAGCCAAATATATAATCCATTAACCTTAGATATATTTAATTTTACCTAAAGAAGTTAAAAATGAAGCTAAAAACAAAGTGAGATCAAGTCTCATGTCTAATGGTTTAATACTAAATGGAGCAAACAAAAAATAAGTAATGTAATAACAAATACTAAACCAGGCAACACCATTTTCATCTACATCATAATAAGAGGCAGCTAAATTTAAAATAGGAGTATATTAAACAAAACCTAAAGCATTACAAAATCTAAACATTATTTGAATTGATTACGTAAATGCACAAAATGCCAATAATACAAGCCATCTTTATTTATATACTTTGTATGTTTTATTCTTGAAATATAAATGTATACACAACCTCAGTTGAATCATTTTTGCCCTTTAGCATAAACTCATCGAAACTTGAATTATAAACTAGCATTAAATTTATGAATTATATTATGATAAATGTAAATTATTTAAATCATTTACATAACAATTGTTAAGCATAAATAAACATATAAATCAAGCAGCAGCTGATTATTACTCCATTTCTAAACGAAGGAATTTTGTCTTATAACCAAATATCAAATAAAGATAAAATGGTCCCATTGCGACTAAAATAACCCATAATCCAACATCAAGGAATACTTCTAAAATTAATATATAATTCAAAATAAAACCAAATAACTTTAAACTAATAAATAATATATTTTACATTTGACATTTGCATAATGGCTGTTGTTAAAACTAATTCAAATGAAGGAAAGAGTTTCTCAATATAACACTACAAAGCTAATGGAAGAAATGAATTTAATCCAAAACCAATTATTCCCGATAAAATAACTATCACTGTATCATTAACATAATTTATGATCAATGCTTTAACCAAAATCCCAATCACTCCTATTGTCAAAAAACCTTTTATTAAATAATCATAATGTGGTTTTGTATTATTTTTTATTTAATAATCCACATAAATACTTGCCAAAGTTCCACCAACAGCTCCAGTTGCTGCATAAACTATACTTACATAGCCTATTTATTCTGTTGTATAATTAAAAGGTGCTAAAAGAATTGCAATAACAACCATATATGCCCAAGAGACTCCTATGAACATAGAAAATGTTAATAAATCCATTATTGATTCTACACTTTTAAATGCCCTTTTAAAGGATGGCAAAATAAGCATTTTATCAGATGCCTTATTTATATATATTTAAATGTTTACAGCTGATATTGATGGTGGACTTTATGGTTTATTTCTAATCATTGTTATACAAAATATAAATGCCAATGTTGTAAATATAGCAAATAATAAATTCATGAGATCTATCTGATATATTATCTCATCATGATCAGTAACATTTTAAAATGTTATTGAAGCATATACTATTGAAAAGTTTAATCCGACTAAGTTAAAAAAACTACCTAAACTGGTAGATACATTTCTTTCATGCATTGGAAACCATCTATCAGATATATCTATTATATTTATGATATTAATTTACATGCTGGAGCTGCTAAAATAAATATTTAACCCATTCCTATTAAAATAAACCCTACTAATGCAAAAGAATAGGTTTATTAAGCTATGTATATAAACCATTAGCCTAAACTTATTTTATAGACTAATTACCTAATGCTGTTAAAAAGGCAGCAAGAAATAAAGATAAATCTAATCTTTTCTCAAGAGGACGTATTGTAAATGGACAAAATAATACATATGTAATATAATAGCAATTGCTAAACCATACAATGGCTTAATCACTAACACCATAATATTCAGCTGCCAGAGTAAGAATTGGAGAATATTACACAAATCCAAGTGCATTTGAGAAGCTTAACTTACATATTAAAAGTACGTGAATGTGCAAAAAGCAAATAAAACTAACCAACGCCAACGATAAGCTTTATATTCTTATGTTTTCAAAGCTTCTTCTGGACCCACCATAAATAAAAATGATGATTTAATAATATGTAATATTTGTACTCATTTTAATTTGTATGTCTGTAATAAATAACCTCCAAATGCATTCATTTCAACTTTTGGATGAGTTCGATTTTCCAAAACTTAATAATATCTTAGAAAACTATCCAAAACTTCTATTTTGCTACAACTATTTGTTGATAACAATTATTCTGACACTTCATGTAATTTCTCCAAATATGTACTGAATACAACTATTATACCTCCTACTGCTATTAAATTCAAATATTTTTCAATTATTTCTGTAAATTTGAATTCTCCAGCTATCAAAAGACTATATTATTTTTTAGAATATTACTGAGTATATTTATTTTGGGTTTTCTCTATTTCCTCCAAATTTTTTATTAATTTTATGCTTTTAAGTATATTCTCATTAAAGTTCATTTATTAAATTGGCCAATAATCTTTAAGATTTGCTTTAGTATGATTCCAAAAAACAGTTGAAATTGAACCTTCTCCATCCAATCTTTCAGCTACAGCAGAAACTGCCACACCCTAAATAATAAAACAGTAAATTTACATTTGCATTGTCAAAAATGAGAATGTTTGAATTTTAAGAAATACTTGACAATTACATAAATAATGCCAAGCTGTCTATTCTCATAAAACTATTTTATAATTAATATTTTTACTTAAGTTTTTAGGGTGACTCTAAAAATTAAGTCTTATGTACATTCTCTATTGTTGTTTTTAAAACCATAAAACAACAAATATATTTTTCCTTCTTTCTTTTAATATATTTTGCTTTTGAAAATTCAGTTTTTTTTTCAAAAGTCAAACTATTTTGAATTACTTCGTCAACAATTTCCTCTCCTTCTTTTTGTTATTTAAGTGAAAGAATTTCTTCTTAAGTTAACTTTTGAGAATCATTAAAATCAAAAAGTTCTTTATTTGTTTTAGTGATTTCAATTTTTGCATCATCAATTTAATTATCCAAATCAGTATTATCATAAAATTAATCTGAAGTTATTTCTATAACTGCATTTGTCTTATCTACTTTCCAAAATGTATTATATTATTTGTGAAGAAGTACACCAACATCAAATTTATGTTTTCTCCAAGCTACCATTCTAATATTTATATTGTATAAATACTTTTTCTCATGAACTTTAACAATTTTGGATTCATTTCTATTATCTTCTAAACATACCCAAGTATCTTCCTCTATAGTTTCCATAATTATAAATTTAATATAAATATTTGTTAAATTCTTTTTTAATAAAAGTTTATTGATGTAGAAACTAAAAATAAAAAATTAATTAAGAAGGTATTCAAATCATTTTCTTACTTTTCATAACTTTTTTATGTCTGTATGTTCCAAATATAGTTATTAATACAGTTACTAAAAGCAGAATTCCTGATGATATTGCTATTCTTAATCCTAATTACTAGAATTATTAAAGTCTTTGTTCTTATCTTTCTGCTAGGTTTGAAAACATTCCCTATTTTTGTAATACTTAAATACTTTAATTATATCATATGATATCTTCATTTATGTCATAAGATTTTCAATAGGTTTTAATTATGTCATAGGTAATTATGTATCAATCTTATCAGATTATTCTTCATTATCTTAATTGTATTTTAATGTATATAAAATAGTTGACGTGCTCAAATTTTGTATACATATTTGAATATTATGGTTGTATTTCACTTTAAATTTAAATTATTGAATCTATTCATTTTAACTTTAATGCAAATAACCTTCTTTTTTAAATCTCATTGGATTCTTTAATAAGAATCAAAGTCTTACATATATTTTAATACTAAAGTCTTTAATTGTACTACTAATTTCTCCTATAACTGTTAAACCTTCAGTTAAACTATCACCAAAACAGGTAATCTCTCTTTTTCCCAATGATTAGTTGAATTCAATTGCATTGATTTACAAAATGAGTAATAAAAATAACATTTGTATTTAATTATAAATTAATTTTATTCTATAGTAAAATATACTTATAATTTAAATAAATTAAGAATGTAATTCTAAACCACTAAAATAAATGAATGATTTAATATAAAATACCTCATTCTTCAATATGAAATTCTATCAAATCATCAAGTCTTAGTTTTTTTGTATTATATTCTCTAAGGTCTGTAAAATGAATTGCTTCTATTAAGTATTCGATTAAATATTTTAATTCTTAATCATTTTAATCATTATGCCATTCAAGAATTGGAATTCCATTTTCAATTTAGAATCCAAAAGAATGAGCTAAATTATCTACTATGAGCATGTCTTTTAATTCTTTATTGCTAATTAATCTTAAATCTTTTATAAAGAAACCATTTTTAGTTTCCATACAGTTATTTCTTGTCATAATTCCAGATATATACTACTTAGTAGGATCTAAATAATTAATTATTGCTTAAGCATATGCTTAAGATGAAGCAGTATATATATAAATTGTGTAATATTGAGATAATTATTAAAGAAATAGAGATGTATAAGGTCGAATATTAATCCCAATCTAAAATATAAATTGATTTTACTTTAGCTTCTTCTCCGAAATCTCCAACAGCAGTCACATAAACTTAAGGATTTTCTCTTTGTGTGCATGAATGTATTAAAGTTTCATCTAAATCTAATATTAGAGCTCGATCTTTCTTTGGATAAGCTTCAGAAAGTTAAACTTTTTTTGATTGTATAAATTTATCAGAAGGACCTTTCAAACACTTTCTAGCATAAATTAAACCTCGTTATGTAAGTATTAGATGCTTTTTAAAAGTTTATTCACTTATATTTGGACCAAATATTAAATGTCTGAAAGGATGATTACTTAATTTATCTTTTCCATTACTTTATTAATTTTTCTTACTCTATTCATTATCCGAATTAGCAATTAAATTTTACATTGAAACTGCTTATCTAAATTATTCTTAATCTAATACTTTGTTTTATTTAGCTTTGGATTTTGTGGTTGTTGATTTTGTTTTTATTATATTCTTTAAGCTTATTCTTCTATATTATAATTTCCTTCTTGCTACTATAATTATACAGGTTATTATTATTTTTTTTCATTATCACTAAAATCTGGTTCTATTTCAACATCCCCATCAATCTTCTTAGTATTGACTAAATTACTAAATCTTGACATTTTAGCTGCTAATTAAAAATAAATAAGGAACCTTATGGTTGTTTACATCTTGGTTTTTAATTTTTTGGGGTTCCAGATTCTGAATCATCTGTTTAATAACCATTTTATTAAATTGGAGATTTCACTTTGTTTTTTACATTTGTTTTAGGAGTATTGTCTTAAGAGTTAGTACTATCCCCTTCTTCTTCACTATAAAATTATAGTTTCTATTCTTAATTTATAACTGATTTAATGTGACCAACTTATGACTTGGCTTTAAAACTATACAATTTATCCATTTTATAATTTTATTTTTTTTTATAAAAGGAAATAAATCCATTCAGTTTTATTCTTATTGAAACATATAAATAGATATTTAAAAAATTAAAAAAAGAAGCAACAATAATTTTAAATCTCATATTTAAAAGATAATCTTAATTAGATGTATTCTGTAATTCTAAATTTTAAATATAATATATATATATATAATAAAGTTCATTTTTTTATTATTTTACTGCTTTTCTTTTATGATAGATTATAAATATTTTTCTATGAAATATTTTGTTACTTTTAAACTGTAGGACGTTATTGCCTAGATGCAGCAGATGGAGGAACCTTTAGCTATGTTTAACTACCAACCATTGTACCTCTCATACTTTATGGTTTACTCTATATAGATATTGCTTATTGAGAATCATTTGATTCAGTTAAATGTGGATTATAATTTGCATCTTATTCATCATCATCAATTCTTTATAGAGGCTATATTGGAGATCTTTAATTTTATTAAGGCAACTTTTCCTATTCAAATTATGGAAAAATATTCTTTGGCTCTATTTCTGGAGATTTTGGAACTTCTAATGGTCTTTAATATCCTGCACCAAATGAATCTTGGCGAATTGATTATCTATTTTGAAGATTTTAAAGTGTTTGCTCCACTTATTGACCTGTTAGTTATTAAGTTATCACTTTATCTTATGATAATGCTAAAGATTATCTTTATTATAAAGCATAAGGAGATCTTTAATGATCATTTACACTCTCATTTATTTAATTTGAAGGATAATTGTAAGTTGAAGATCGAGCTTAGGATTGTTATTCTATGTTTTATAATTATTTGGATTATACTTAATTTGAATATTAGTAAGACTATTATTAAAATTAAGAATATGTTTATTATTATTATTATTATTATTATTATTATTATTATTATTATTATTATTCTTATTCTTATTATTATTATTATTATTATTATTATTATTCTTATTCTTATTATTATTATTAATATTAATATTAATATTATTATTATTATTAATATTATTATTATTATTATTGTTATTATTATTATTATGGATATTTCTTTTAATCAGTGTTAATTGATTGAAATAATGATTATTATTAAAATAAATTATTATCATACTAATTTGTTATAGGTTTTTATTGAAGAGTTTTTAAATTTGAATTAGTTAATTCAACTTATTCAACTAAACTTTATTTTGGTTGTTCATCTATTTCTTGATGATTATATGCATATTCATCATCATTATGTATTATTTATTCATGTTCATTAAAATTTTGTTATTAATATTATTATGGGTTAGTTAAATTTTTGAAAAAAGATTGTCTATTAGAAGGAGGATCCTGAATAATAATTTAATCACTTTAAATGTTCATTTGTTTATTTTATAAGGGAAGAATCTCTTATAAAGTAATTGGCTATAAATTTGAATATTATTATAAGCTTTTAGTAGGTTCCCAATTAGGAATAGGTATTTAAAATTTTTTTGATGGTGATTTTTAAAATCTTATTTAAGCATCCTAACTTCTTTTTAATACTATTCTAGCCCTTTAATCAAGATTTTCAACTTAATGATATAAATTGTTTGGATCTTAATTTTATAATGAATGTTATTATTAATCAGAAAGTCTTTATTTCTGAATAAAAAATCCACTCTATTCTTTAAAATCAATCGAATAAGTTGGTATAAATTCTGAAATTGTAGAGGACTAATATAACTAAATTACATAAAATTACTCTAAAATAATCTTCCAATTAAAATCTGTATTTATGCAATAGCTCATGAGCTTATTTAGGATTTGGTCTATTATCAGGAGCCATTATAAGCAAAGATTCGACTATTTCATATAGATCAGAACTATATTAAGATTTCAGAAAAAATAAATGATCATCCAATTTTTCCATATTAAAAGTATAGCTTTACAAATCATAAATATCTTAAACAAAACTTAAAGTGGCCATTTATAATGATGTTAAACCAATACAAAATACGTCTGATTTATTTTAATCAATATTTGGTCTTAAGACTTTCTATTTAAGTGATGACAATTATTCAGGACTTAAATTATACTAACCTTATTATTTAGCTATGCATCTTCTATATGCATTCATATCTGTCATTTCTTAAATATCAGTTAATTTAAAAACTGAAAATGGATGGTTCTAACGAAATTAACTTCTTTTAGCATAAGATGTTGCACTTATAGTTAAAGGTCGTATATCACCATGCTATTTTTATTAATCATTCAATCTTTATAATGCCATTAACTAATTTATATTTTTAATTCAATTACTGTACAATGTAGCATAGCAACTATTTCAATTTCTTCAAAATATTATTTTGTTTCACTTAATTCATTTATAACTCTCTCCAAGTATTCATCAAAATATTCATATACACTATGAGCTTAAGTTAATTAAGTGCAGAGTTCCTTTTCTGTAACATGTTATAAATCAATCATTTAAATTAAGAAAGGAGTACTCTACTTCTATATTTTATTTATTATAATATATTACATTTCCCATTTGTTTTTCTTAAACTATTTTAAATTAATTCCATTATTCATCATCTTAAAAAATATGATCTTTAACAGCTACTGCATGTTAGTCTTAAGTTTTGAATATTCTTATTTCTCCATATCGGATATCTGTAGATTACTTCCAAAATTACAATTAATTAATCTTAGGAACATCCACTTTTGATTATTATAAGTTTTATGAATTTGCTTAACCCATTCTGTTAAATTATTTTATTTAATAAATTTTATACTTAATTTGTAACAACTTTCTAAATTATAAATAAAAAAGAAGGTTTAGAAAGATCCACAGAAAACTGCAATTTTACATATTTAGTGGAAAGATTATTAAATTAAAATATTCTTACAAATTTTTTATCAAGAATAGTTTACACTATCTAATAATATTTTAATGATTTTTAAAGTCTCAAGTTTACTTATCTTTTAATTTTTTATCCCTGAATATACTTTGATAGTTTAATTTACTAAAATTTTAGAAGAGTAAAAGGACAATATATTAGAAAAATATTTGAAAAAAATGGTTACATGATGATAAATTTCTTGTATTTTTTTTTGATTTTTCTTACCATTCTTTAAATATACTAGATAAAATAATTTAATTGCACCATAAATTTCTAATATAATCTCATTAATACTATTAATTATAATAAATATTAAATATTAAATATTTATTCATATATTATGTAATATTCATTATAATATATATAATACTAGAATAGATTTCATAATCTTACTTCTTGCAATGAAACTTGAGCATCCAACTAGAAATCAGATTAATATTATGAATACATTGTAATAAAAAGTGTAAAAATTTTTTTCTGCATAATTGTTTTTTAATGAAAACGAATATTTTTAAAAAAAAAATCATTTTTTATAAATATATTTTTGGTATTCAAAGTTACCTCTTGATAGTATAACATGAACAGGGAAATTTTACAGATGTCACAAGTCCTTATATGATAATAACCCTGGTATATAAAGATTTAGTAGCAACTAAAAATTTGATTAATTTTATTTTAAATATCAAATTGATATAATATGTCAGTATCATAAGAACAAAGAATTTCTTCTACCTCCTCTTTTAAAGAAGATTGTCTTCCTCTAAAAAGATAATGCAACATTCAAAATTTACTAAGAAGAAAAGATTTTAAATAAGTGGTGAGGATTTTATAAAATTAGAATAAGTCAAGGTTAGGCTATTTTACTATTCTAGAACGAATTATAAAAAGTTAAAGTATGAGGATTAGATATATCGAGTTGGCTAAAATTTATGCATTAAAGGTGACAATCGATCAGAATATGTGGCTAAACTTATTAAAATAGTTAAACTCTACGATGATGAAGATAATTGCATACCTTTAATCAAAGTACAATGGTTTTATAGGAAAAATGAACTTTATGGTTTGCCTAAAGAATAAATGGATTGTATTTCTGAAAATGAAGTTTTCAAAACTAATGAATTTGACTATATTGAAATAGAAAGCATAGTGGGACTCGCAATTATTCTCAGTTATGAAGAGTATGATTAAATTGAAGAGTTGAATGATAATATTTACTTTACTAGAGCATCATTTATTGACAGAAAATTACAACCCTCTGTTGATTAATGGAAATTAGTTTGTATATGTCATAAGCCCGCCAATCCAGATTTAAAGTATCAACTTAAACTAAATTAGGTATATATTTTGTGATGGTTGTTAAAAATGGTGTCATTTAAAATGTGTGGGGCTAACATAAGACTAAGCCGATAAACTTAATAAATATATATGTCCTGATTGTAAAAACTGAATATATAGTATAATTTATTTAAATAAAAACATATTTATCTCATTGGTCTTTAACATGTGGTTTTGTGCTTTTATTCGTTATCTCATAACATTTTAAGATAAAAATAGCTTCCTTTAAATATTTTCATTGTTTTATAGATAGGATTATTTTTTAATGATAATTTTCATATCTAGCACCTTATAGCATTCTAAATAATCTATAATTCTAGGATTGCTAACATAATACATAAAAAATCATTACATTTTTATATAAAAGGCCTTATTAATTAATGAAATTTTAAAAAGCTAATTTGAGAAGACTAAAATACAAAAGAAATAAAATACTATATATTAGCTATTAAAATAGATGATTAACAGTCAATATTCAATAAATAATATCTAAATTTCAAATCAACTCATATTTTTAAGGCATTATGAAAAATAAATTTCAAATAATTGAGATTATATTAACACTGTTTGGATAAACATATGATTTTCGACAAATATAAAATTATTTAAATTGATCAGATCTTAAATATTAATTTTTATGATTTTTCTCTTTTAATGTTAATTTTGAATCAACTTTATTATTTTTGTATTTCTTAAATCAGAAAACCTTTTTTAAAAGGCTCTCATTACTCTTATGCAAATCCACTATTTATAAGGTTTGTTTAGAAAAAAATATTATTTTTTATAAGATAAAATTCAGCTTTGTGTAAATTTAATTGTTAAATAAATCATAAAAAAATTCAGGT